CACCCCACTGTCGGGCCACGCGTTACGGATTCCGCGAGCGAACGGGCTGAGCGGCGCGCGGCGGGAGAACGAACGTCACTCGCCGCACAAAGAGAGAGGGCTGATAGCCTACGAGCGGCACTCGCAGCTTCCAGCGCGAACGAAGCAGGTGGCGGGAGCAGGGCAGACAGGGACACCAGGGTTGTACAGGCGGGCAGGCTTGCGGTGAGCAGGCTGGTAGCGGGCACTATTGATATTCTCCTGTACATGTAGGTCACTCGTCGAAAGACGCGACGGTTGCAAAAAGTGCAAGCACAAAACAAGCATGTAGGATTAGTTTTTGCGTTTTAATTTTTACGTTGAGCCTAGCAATTAATCTACGAATGCATCTCTATGTTTAGGAAAAGAGTCTGAGACAGGTTTGCAACGTTTGCTTAGTGCTGGACGCGAACCATTGGCACGCATATCGTCACACGTCCGCAAACTGATTTGCCGCCCGTCAGTTTACCCGTACCAACATCCCGGCACCCGACTGCCGGCATTTACGTAAACATGGGTTAGATCGCGTTTTCCCTCCAAACGATTGGATCTGAAAAGCGAGGATGCACATCTATCCCGTTTGATACCCTACGTATTTCGCCACATCGTGATAATAACCTTTCGTAATGGGTTGGGGGTTGTCCCTTGCAGTCTCTACTTCCTGGGCGACGCGAAGGAGGTCCCGCGGGCATCCCAAGCGATGAGACCCCGGCGGCACAAGCGCAAGGAATGCAGGACGAGGCAGAGGTACCGAACAACCCACCCGCCGCCCCGTCGGTGAGTTACATGTACGATGGGCGCAATTTTGGAGTTCCCGTGGCAGCCAATCGAGCATAGATGGACTTTTCGTTCCTCCGTCGAGGCCTATGATAAGAAGGATGTTTGTTCGACCTGAACATGCTCTTCGCTAGGTTTAGAACAGGTATTCGCTGTGTAGTCGTGGGCCCATGCGATGTACCGTGCGTTAGTCTATACGTGTGTTGGGACGAAGGCCCTCTAGTCTAGGTCAGACGGAAATTCAAACGAGCACTTACTGCTGTCCGTTGAACGCATAGACTACACCATCGCGAGGCGCCGCCGCTTGTCGTTTGTGTATCCGTCCGCACGGTGCCCGGTGTAAAACGTTCCGATTGTCACCGTCTGTGACCATACCTTCTGTCGAGTCTATCTGTATCCTTCTTATAGCGTGGGGTTGACATTCGCACCCCCCATCTATTGACCACCCCGGTGTCGATTTATTTTGATAGGTATGGCGTTGCTCTTCTTCCCGACCTCGCGCGTACGCAAATCCATACCATGTTCACTTCATTGTACTTCCCGAGGCGAAGCCTGTCTCTTGGGGCGCGCCAGTCGCGCAGACCACGAAAGCATACAACATACGCGCAGACCACGAAAGGGACCCTCGTTTTAACCACATATACATATATACAACGACGACCACGACCACGACCACGACAACAACGGCCTACAAAGTTTTGTTTTATAGGTACAGATATATATACATGTACGTACGATACACACAGTCCTTTACACCCGCGAGACCGATCGACAAAGATCGTTTACTGCACAACGAAGAGGATGCCGAAATGAGGAGGTGTGTTCATCTGAGTACTGGCCCTGCTCCAACCTCCGGCGCCGCCGTTCGACACGGGAGTGTCGTTGTTCGTGTTTCGTAGTTACTGCGGGTGTGTGTGTGCCGGGGGGGGTTGGGTGGGCACCACTAATGCAACGTAGTGGACGTAGATGGGGCACCGTTCATATTGTCTCCGCAATCCTCCGTCTTAACGGGCAGGTCACATCACATGAGCAAGGTTCGGTGGTTGCGCCCGTGGGAACGTCCACCGGAAGTATCTTCGCACCCCCGGCGCTAGGAGGGCAGAACGGCTCGGACTTAGTGGATTCCAACAACGCCGCCATGTCCCCGGTGAGTTGGTTCTTTTTTCACGCTAGCTCGGCGTCATTTGCCCCTCCTCCGTGTGTTCCATGTGTACAACAAGTTCAGACAAAGGACATGTCTTGGGGTTTTTTCTTTTAATAACAAAATTTAACGCGATGTCGATGTCCAAATGAGGAGCGATACGGAAAGGCCCACCGCTATTACCAGAAACGGCCCCTCTTCGGGCAATGCGCGTGTGGTCTCGCGTCACCCGCGGGACCACGGCCACCCACGCCCGAAGAGGCCTTGAATGTTTGTGTCGTCAAGTAACCTTATGAAGAAGGCTGTGCTTTGGGGGTGGGTATACATATGATCGTAGTTCGACCGTTTGTGTACTGGCCGCACGACAAGCAGCGGCCGCTACACCCACACCCACACCCCCCCTGCTTTGGGTGCGGTTGGCAGGAACACCCAACGTGCATGGGCGGTTGTAGTAGTCAGGGTGCATTGTATCCGACCGTACGGAAATCCCGAGAGTTTGATGCCAAACGCATCCGCGAAAACAGGTAATATTTGCTGTCGGGTAGTGCCGTGTGTGCCGTGTAACAGGGGTGATTGCTGCTGCTGCTGCAGTTGATAGGCTGTGCGTCCTACCAAAGCTGCGCCAAACCTAACTGTCGTGTTAATGATATGCTACTACGGCCGATGTGTGCTGCGCGGATATGATCTAAGATGTTATTTGAGGATGCGCGTGGGATTTAACGCCATCCGGCCGTACGCGAGCCGCCGTTTCGTATGTAGATAACCTATACGGCCTCTACCTGTACGAAGAGGTATGTGTCGCTCATTGCGGGAAACAGGTCGTAACTCTCCCACGCGGATGGGACCGCATTTGGTACGCATTGATGTCCTCCTCGATGTCCTACACAAGCATTTACACGTGGGACACTACCCTCTTGCCTTGCCCCCTTAACAGGCTCATCATCCGGACATGCCGACGACGACGTCGCCAGAACCCGACCAGATCACCACAGCGAGGATCAAGGTCCAGACTTTCTACAAGTACCGCAGAGAGGGCGAGCCAGTGCATGACTTCATACGGAAGGCAGAGGTCCAAGTCGCTACCTACGAGGAGATGCAAAGGTAGCGATCTGTCGGAGCACCACTCCCCGCCGCAGCTGCGACCGGTGGCGGCGGCGGACGCTCATACGACGAGTCACGGCGCAGCGTGAACTCGGCGATGCAGGGCAGGGAGTCGCTCGACGAGTCCCGTCCTGCGGGAGATGGATTGCAGCAACCTCCCAGCCGTACGCCTGCAACGACTCTCCTGCCCACACCACCACCCGCCGGTATAGCCACCCAGCACGCCCACACCGACTGCTGGGGCGAGACTTATCGCCCCCCGCCCGGTTGTTCTGGACGTCAACGCTTAGCCTTCGACCAGAGTCACCATGTTCACCGGCAGCCCCCGCCGCCCCTGCCTGGTGTACCCCCGAGTTATGCCGTGCATCATGCCAATCGTAATGCAACTCAATTCAACGAAGGTACGCACCTCGCGATAGGCGTACCGACCGAGGGCATCATTTCTTTTGCTGTACATAACTTGGCATCCGGATGTTCGTAATTATGTCGACACTGCCTTCACCAAGTGCTAGAGCGTACTCGCGGATATAACGGGGCGGTTGGTGTACAGGTGCGTGTGTCGTTTGTGTATTGAAAATTTAATCAACTTTCGATCTACACAACCCAAGCGTGTGTTGTGATGTGCTGCGCCAACGAGGAGCTGGTGCTTGTGCGCAAATGGGCCTATTTTCACTACCACCTGCCACTCTTGCGCGTCTGCGTCGTTTGTCAGTGTGATGTCTTGGTCTCTTCGTATGTACCGTAGCGCAAGAGCAGCACTACCACGTGGAGTGTGTGTCCCGAGGATGCGCCGGTAACCACGTATAGCAGTGAGAGCTTTCCATGCACCCGTCGGTCGGCAGCACCATGTGGCACGTTAAAGGCACGCGCCCGGTTGTTCGCATCGCATTCAAGCACGGTTCGTCGTCGCACCGGGTGTCCCATGCAGTCGTGGTCGTCGCCGTATCCGAACGTTCTTTGGCCGTCCACGTCTGGTCCACAATGCTGTACCGAAAATAAAATTCTAGCTTATATGTTCCCCACACCGGCATGTAGATTACAGTCTCGTATGCATTTGGCAAATGCGTTGTTGATGATGCCACGAGAAGCACGGGGATGACAAGTAATCCTGACCATCAACGCCCACCCCTGCACCTACCAACCCCATGTCTGTTACCTCGCGGCCGTCAGGGATAGAAGACCTTCTCGATACACTGGCCGAGCGAGTCCTAGTTCGGCATCCTTCGGTGGGTTACATGAGAATGACCATCGCCGTTTATCTCGATCTGAAGCGACGGGCACCAGGGAAAGGGGCGTTGGCCCACATCCTGGCTGTGGCCCGAATTTCTAAAGGGAGCGCGAAGACATTTGAAAGGTTAGGCCGACCATGTCATGCACAAGTGTGTTGTAAACATCCGTAGAGGTCGCTTATTCCGTTCTTTGCTTCCCCACTACATCGAAATGGTCTATAGTTTGAGATGACATTCCGACGCGCACGACGCTGGTGGTGTCGATTGACGTATCGGATTGCTTCTCCCGCAGTCAATCCCGTCTGCCTGGTTGTCACCAAAGTACCCAAAAACGCCGCTGTATTACAGCCGGCTTGACTTCCTCGGTTACGCCACAGTTGTCACCAAGGTCTCCCTGGACAAGCCAGACGTATGATTGAAATTCTGGGCAAGGGATCGCCGATTAACAGGAGATGACGGCCAGAGGGTCGGCAGTATTTCCTGCAGTCGAAACGGAAGCACAAGGTCCTATACGTCAGAGGGGGGAGGACACCACGCGGTCTATGTACATCGTCTATCGGTATATTCTGTATCACCTCTGCCACAGCAAGACGAGGTCCATGCCTCTCGTCACATACGTCCTGTTCCGCTGACTCGACCTCGGAACGCCCCCGGTGGACTAACGCCCCGACATTCTTTCCGTGCTCGCTTTTGAATTCGTGGAGTATGCAGGAACACGAAACTTCTCGAAGATATGGGCACCGTCTTGAACGAAGCTGATTTTTTCACCACAGCATCTAGGCTCGAAGCGGGTCTCGGGACCGCTGCTCCGGCCGCCATAAGCGCGCCTGTTCCGGCATCTGCCAGCACGCCTGCGCAGGGGTCTGCTTCATCACCAGGGACCTGAACAGGCCGCGCAAATCTACAGCGGTACACCATCTTCAGTACGTAGCGACGCAATACCTGGCTGTAACGTCAAGCTACGGCAACAACTGAACAGCACGCCCGGGTGTGTTCCGTATGAAAAACACGAGACGCCGGAAGGGCACCCAAGTAACATAAGAGTCTTACTTGTGCCTGTTCTTCTTTCTGATATAGCACCCTTTGAATAATGAGACGCAAGTGTATGGTAGGTCGGAGTCCCCGCGCGTGCTTCCGAACACGGGCGGCGTCAGGCTCGACGGCCAAATAACGAGCGCCAGGCGGTCGTTCTTAGTGTCTCGTGGCGTGAAAGTGTTGTCCCCTCTGTAGGCCCCACCTCTGTGCGTGGAAGCAGACATCTGTTTCCGCACGGAGACTCAGAGACAGCGGTCGTGTACGTGTCGCTGAGGTATTGGTGTGTTGCCTTTTTATTTCCGTGTCGTTGTCATGAGCATAGCCCACACGTTGTCTCTTTCCCTTGTCTGTGTCCGTTCTGGTCTTTGGACTTTTCTCTTGCTTTCCTGTCCTTTTTGCGAGTCTAGTCTTACCTCGCTTAGTGTGTATAGGCGAGCGTGTTGTCCTAGACTATCTGTCGTTGATTTCTACCGACTTGTTATTGTTGTGGTCTTTCGTGTTTTCCTGTATTTGGTTATAGGTTAGTTTTCCTGTGACCACGGGAATCGACCGCGTAAAGTCTTGTACTACGAAGTAGGGACAGAATAAAGCACCGGGTGCCGAGGTCGGATCGATATTAAAGTGAAGACAAAAGCAACAGTAAGAAGAGGTAATCGACCGGGCTTCTAGAGCCGATCTCAGTCCACGCTGTGAACCTCCTAGAACTACAAGCAGTTGTGTTTACCTGAGACGATTCAAAGAGTTCTTACTGTTGTTCGATAATCTGCTCTTGTCGGTTACGTGATAATAGCCAGTACCTGCTGTAGACATGCGGTGGCTCAGATTGACTCGTTGTCGACGATCCCCATCGACCTCCACACTCCACACACACACCGGCATGCAGCACGCATCAGCGCCCGTCCTGCTCCCACTGCCGCTGCTCAATGCTTTTGGCGTGTTGGTCGGGCTCGGGGGTCTCGCACATGAACCACAACCAGCTCAGTGTAGGCGAAATGGTCGCGCACGACCTCTCCGACGGGAACGGGTAGATCGTAGGCAGCCAGTTCCGAGCTGCAGGCATGTACCGTAATTGTGTGTGCTATGGCACCGGGTGCGATCGGTTTATAAATCCTTTCTGTCTTGTTCCTTTATCGCGCCCTGGTGCCGTAACACACATGGGTGCGTAAACACCAATACCGGTGCGGTAAATGCAATTACACCGTTCCGTGATCGATGTATCCGCGCGCCCGGTGCCAAAACCACGATGTGTGCATCAGACGCACAATTGCGGTACTATCGTACCGCAAAACACATGCGGCAAAAAGCAGTGTACCAATTCGTGACTTCACCGTAACGTGTCGAATCACCCACAAACGGGATATCCCCACTTCGGAGCAAGTTCTGTCTGAAATGGAGGGAGTGTTGGCCTCTACAGAGATCCATCCTAACGAGACAGGGATGCTATCGTCGAAAGAGCTCAATGCTGATATCCAGCCGGGAGAATAGCTCCGACCTGGCGATGGCCTTCTGTGGTTGAAGCCGGAGGTGCTTACTCATGCCACAGTTACAAAGATAACACCAAGTCTATTGTTACTCATATCATGCACACTCAGTCGACCAAGTCTATTTTTCCCGTTGCCGCCTGCGGACAACCAAGCGCACGGAGAAAGATGTGGAGACGAGCAAGCCATGCAGCAGTACAACCGTCGCCGCCGTGTACGGATAGACCATGCCATAGTAATCCCCATCCACGCGGAATCTGGCATTCGACAGCGCTACCCTGCTCGTAGTTCTTGTGGACGTCAAGATGGCTGCCATCCACGATACGAAGGATAGTCCCCTCTTGAAACGCACACAACGCGGAATACGGAGGCGGCTGAGGTCGACTGTTTCCGCGAGTCGCCGCCTGTGTTCGGCCCGCCATCTGATCGGTGATCTTCTCCAATACCTGGTCCCGGTGTAAAACCTGCCGTCGTTCGGACCATTGGTGCGAGACACGGAGCGGTGCGAAAGAAAAAATAGGTGAAATGGTTTTTTGCCGGGTGACCATGCGTGAACACCGTCGAGAAACCCGCACGAAACACATCGCTACTGAGCCGATGTTCACTTCACCTGTGCCAAGAGTCCCTCTAGACTGAGCAAGCAAGTGCTTATCTCCGCGAGGATCCGATCGTACCCCGGGTTGTCGAGAGCCCACAGCACGTACACCAGCGTTTCTTCCATGTCACCGGAGACACTACCAAAATCAGTGCCCAGATCACTAAGGGGAATCATGAGCCTGTCCTGACCCTTTATTCTCGTGTATCTCCTTTTCAACATGACACTCTTGACAGAACCGTCCGTGTCTTCCACGAGCCGCGCCACAGCCGATGCCATTGATGATGTCTTCGTGCGGGCCTCCTGCTCTGAAGCGAACAGCGGGACGCATACCTTCCCGTCTCTCATCAGCTTATTTCGTGCGAGTCTCCCGTAGGGGGTACCCACGAATTCGGCGATACACCGCTGTTCGGCCGCGTGTCGTGCAGCCCCACTAAGAGTGCGCTGGGCGCTCTTCATCCCAGTGACCAATTTCTGGATATCCGTCCTAGACTGTTCAACGCCGATATCGTCGTCAATATACGGGTTGAGGATCGCGCTTCGTGTCGAGTGCGCGCTGGCATGAGCGCGCGGGGGGGGGTGGGGGAGGGGGGGTACTCATCTACTCATAGTCGTGCATGACGTAGTCGTTGGACCATTGACCTCGCATCCCTATAAAGCCGGGACGGAGCACGCCGGGTTCTCACCGGACCAGGCTCTCACATAACCAAGGGCGAAGCGCCGTGAGGTATTCGGCGAGTCGCATGAAGGGTGAGCTGCATCCTTTTAACAGTGTTCGGCATCTTGTGCATACTTCCTTGCGTACGGATGACAGCTACGTATGACTTAATTTATTTTCTTGTGCTTTCACTTCCAGAGACAGTTGTAAGCACTGTGTAACTGCCTCGAGGATGCTTGACCATTTTAACACAACGTGGTGCGATCATCCCCCTTGCGCCGAGTGACGGTTCCCCACCCCGCACAACATGACCTACTCGACCACCATTATGGTTACCGCCGAAAACAAAATACGAGGTAAAAAAAAAAACCCGGCAACCTCGTTGCCTAGTTCACGAAGTGAATTGGCTTGTTTGACAACGTCGTTGACAAACGACGAAAACCCAATCCCGATGGCAAACACCGAGGGGGGGGGGGGTACCTATTTGTCAGGGCTGCCGCTTAGCACAGGACCTATCAACAAATGCAGGGCAGGATGAATCAAGCACTAAGGACCAACACGTGTGCACTGAGGTTGAGGCACCGGTCTTGGTACAGGCGTATGAGTAAAAAGTCGGGGGGAGCCACACACGGGCAAAAACGTAACCTTACCGTAGCGGGTCGCTTTCCAGACCAACCGCATTGCGTGCCGGATGTTCCGCCTCCCTCGGGGATGGACCCCCCACATCCGCCTGTATTTTACAAACATGCGTACAGTCCGAGCCAGATACACACCAGTTAAACACAAACAATAACCACCTATAGGCCACCGGGGAAGCCCGCGGCAGGTTCGGGGACAACGCAACGATAGTGTATGTGTGTGTGGGGGGGGGGGTGTAGGAGGCAGACCTGGTGACAGCAGCTGCTGCCGCTACTTGTCGCGCTCTTGTCGCTCAGCCTTAGAGGACAGTGACGTGCTTCTCTCGGTCTGGGCTAATGGGTTCGACGCAAGAACTTTCGCACGTCATATGCATACCTCTCCCTGAGCGCGTCTTGCCGCCAAGACTTTCGCCTTTTTCGCTTTTGCAGTCGAGGCATTCACCCGCGCCCGTTCGCGCCTGTTCGCTTCTTTTCGTTCTCCGTCGGTCAGCACCCGCTCTGGCGGCAGTGGCCCCATAGGTGCAAGATTAGGCATGTTCGTCATGCTTCCCATGCTTGTCCTCCACGCACCCGGGCCTGTCACAAAAGGCACGGTGCGAGCCAGAAATTCGTGATACACTGTAGGAATCAAAAATATGAGAGTAATATTGTCGGAGATGTTACCGGACAGGTACGTGTAGTCATGAATCACTCTCCCTTGAGCAAGCGTTGCACAGAGTACCCGAAGTAGACACAGCCGGGAGGTTACATCCTTAGGAGGAATGCCAGCGGCACACATTCACATAGCCCCGCCAAACGGGGAGTCAACAATACCGACTACACTGAATACTTCAGTTCGGCTGTAACTCCGGCTCTGTGCTGTTACGCAGGGATAGGAATGTCTGTTGCTCTTCGGGTGTTTTGGGCACCCGGGGAAGGGTTTCATGGATGGCACTGGCGCTGCTGCATCCATTTATGTTGAGAGCCTCGGAGATAATAGCGGAAAATGATTGCGTATTTGTTTACCTGTGCAGGGGGGGGGGGGGTTGGGGGAGTGGGGCATGGCGTTCTTCAAGTACGAAAACATCGAAGAAGGACGGGAGTTAGTGCACACGAGGGCTTCGAAGGGGGACCAAGGAAAATAATGCTGCCGTGTTGGTCAGGGGGGGAGTGGCGGGAGAAAGGAGGGGGGGAATTGAAACTGGTACTATTTGGGATACTATATGGAAACGAAGGATTGAGTGCAATGGCAACCCTGCTGTTACACAGAGGAAAACGTAGGGAGGTATATGACTGACCAGCAGACGAGAAACGGTATACGAGCGGTCGTCGAGGAGTGGTCGAAATGAGGAAAAGAGGAGGGGGCGAAAATCTTCCGGAATAGTTTTCACTACTATTTTCCGGAAGGATAGGCGCATGGATGTCGGCAGTGTTGGAATAAGGGGAAACGGAATATGATAGACTACAGGGTCAAGGAACAGAATAGGGGGAGGCATCGCGAGGAAGGAACAAATCTAATTCTGGGGAAACAATGTTTCTTATCGTTTGTGTGAGTACGTGTGTAGTCGAATCTGTAGACGACACGACTGTTTCAGGTGCCCGCCCGTAGGTACGCGTTGGATAGCCCGACCAGATAATGTTTGTGAGGAGCGCCCACGTCAGCTGTTATTCGCTTACTCCGCACTGCTCTTTCCCAAACCGGGTGTGAACATATAACAAGGGTCTAAACATGAAGCACTGCAATAGCTACAAGGACAACAAGGGCGTTTCGGTTATAGGGGTACGAATCATGTACGATATATATTCTTAGGATGGTGGTCGTGTCGTGACTCATATCGAAGGTTTGGTCTAGGGGAAAAATATGTACAGGTGGTTGCTCAAATTTATTGTTGGTGTGGCGTGGATACGACCGAAAACCTGCGACCGGACGAAGGGGACTTCAATGCCACGCCACCGGGCGAAGTGACACGCTGCTGCTGTAGACGTATGTAGACAAGTATTAGCACAGGCACCCGCAGCCAGGAACGTGTCTCTTAGTTGTATTGTTTCGGATACATTCGGTCGATCGGTGCACTCACCCCCGAAACAGATAGACAAGCCATTGACGCGTACAGCAGTTGGCGCCTCTTTCATGTTCTTAAAAGCAGCTGAACATTCTTTTTTTCTTTCAAACACAGCAGTAGCGGGTACAACAGCGAAGAACACCTTGCATGCATGGACACAGGTATCCGTGTAACAGCAGTTACTTTCGAAAACACACACGTCTGTACTCCGCGGTTGCTCACGCTACAGGAACACAACAAACACGCCCGCCCGCGATAAAGGCCTGAACCGCTTTGTAAAGCGGGTAGGCCATCCAAGAACTACTGTAGCAGCAGTCTAAGAGGTGAGACGCCGTTGTGGTTCGAATCGCGGCTGATTGATGGTGCGAGGGTAGCTGTCTGTCGGTCGGTCCCATATGCCCTCTCTTCTACTCAGAACAACACCCGCCGCCTGCTTGTTGGTTTTCTGTTGTATTGCTGTCATCGACACCCACCTTTGTTGTGGCCACCACCCTGTCACCGGCTCCCCTCATGGCGTACAGGTGGAGATATCTGTTGCGTGTGTATAAGTACTGGTGTCTTTATCAGCACGTCTCTCTCTTCCGCTCGCTCTCGCTCTCATTTTATGGGGCAAAAACTAAACAATTACAGTCCAGCCTTCACCAGGGGTTAAGTTCGTATGGATGTTACAGCAGTACAGCAGGGCTAATTTCCCCGCTGCTGCGCTGATTGGCGTCGGGCTGGAGCTTGAGTGACTACATGTATCCATGTAGCTTTATTTGGTAGCCAAGCCTCGGTGCCCCCTCCCCCCCCCGGCCCCCCGGGAGGTCCAAAATCCCTTACGGTTACGAATAGATGTGGCTGGGGCGTAAACCATCACACCGAGGCCACCGTTGCTACTGTACATGTATGCAGGGCTCTCTGCTATGTACCAGCGCGGGAACACGATTGAGTTTGACTGTTGTTTGGGGCGGACGAAAACTCTCATTCTTCATCAACCACCTACTGCTGCACTTGGTGCTGCTGGTGCTGCTGGCGCTGCCGTGTGGACGTGCACTCAGTTTCCCTCGCTTGTATGCTGCTGGCAGAAGGCTATTGTGTTCAAGAACCGCTACCGACCCTTCGTACGCACGTTGAGATTGGTCGCTCTTGGTCTACAGCAGTGTGTACGCATCGTTGCCTCTCTCTATTTCAGGGGTGGGTGCATCGACCGAATATACGTCCGCGACACCACCACTAAGGGTCATTTTAATCATTCCAAATTTCGGTTCCAAAGTTCCAAAGTTCCAAATATTTGGAACTTGTACGGAGGCGTTCCTCCAAATTTCTTCCAAAAATTTGGAACGAACCTGGGCCCGAACATTTGGAACGAGTTGGTTCCAAATAGTTGGAAGCTTTCCAAAGTTGTGGAGCATCAGTCCACAACCCCAGGCAAGGGCGCCACAGGCCGTACCACAAGGGCTAGGCAACAGCAGAGCTAACTTGGATACTGTCTGGGTCATGGTGGACAGCAGAAAACATGGTGTGACTCCTGTATCAGCGCTTTTTCTCGATCGAGAGGAGATGATGCTCCAGACGAGGTGCACGCAGCAGCTACCTCACCCCGACAGCACAGGGCTGAACACAGGGGTGGTCATATCGACGCTCGTTGATGAAAGAAGCAGCAGGCTCTTTTCGAGCCGCGGCACCTATATGGGGAAGAGCACACACTTCCGTGCTTCCTCGCGGACATCTGTAGGCGGCGACACTCTCGAGGATGGATGTACGCATCGATGAACGAGTACGCGTTCAACAACTGATGATGGAGCAGCTGGCACATACATACCCTGGAGCACAAGGACGACTACCAGGCAAGTGGGCAGAGAGGGAGGGAGACGGACATGCCCTGTTTGTCTCCAGTAACCCGTTTCCGCTTGGGTTTCCCGGCCCTCTGCTATTATACTACTGCTGTTCTTTGTGCTCTTTTCCGGTACTGCTGCTGTAAACTGCTGTGTGCTGCTGTGTGGGGAACTGACACACCTGCTCCGGTTGTACCGTACATATTCAACATCCGTGCGGGTGTATTTTGAACATCCGCTTCCCGTTGTCACGCTGGCTACAAATGGCAGCCTCTTCTACCGAGGCTCGACCTCTGTACCACTT